TGTGTGTATGTATGTATGTAATTATGTATATTTTAATACTTTATTTGTTTACATGTGTTACTACTATATAATCCAGAACTTAAGTCCACCGATCCCATATATCCCTAATGTAAAGTTATTGTGTTGTATGGAAATGTTATTCCGAATTACAGTATTGAATGACTGAATAAATTAATTAATGAATGAATGGATGTATGAATGAATGAATGAATATCTGAATGAATGTATAAATGAAGGAAGAAAGGAATGAATTGATGGATGGATGGTTGAATGAATGAGTGAGTGAATGAATGAATGAATGAATGAATGAACGAACGAATGAATGAATGAATGAATGAATGAACGAATGAATGAATGAATAATTTGATAATTGGATAATTGAATAATTTAATACATGATTGAATGAATCAATGAATGTTTTGATGGATGGATGGATGAATGAATGGATGGATGAATAAATGAACAAATGGATGAATAAATGTAGGCCTATGATTGACGTTAGGCTTTATCAGGTAAAATAGACGAGGAAGCTTAGCGATTATTTTCACACCTGAAAGAATAAGCATGATGTAATGGTCCTGAAAGCTGTAAATAGCTTTTTCGAACATGATTACGAAAGTTAGTCGATAGTAAACTAGAAACATGTTTTTATATTGATTTATATTTTCGTAGGAATTATAAAATACAGCGAGGAGTGTTGGTCAGATAGGCGTACAGCAGGTATCGTACTGTATTCGATGAGGGGCGACTTGCGTGCTCATTGGTCTAGGTTAACATAATAATGATTAATAAAAACTACATATAATAATTAGTAATCGCATTTTGACCTACCTATAGTTGAGACTACTGTGCCGACGAAGTAAAATGCACCCGAAAAGTCCCATCGATCCCTGTGTTTAGCCGTTAAACCCTTGGTGACGGCGTATTCGTGACTTTCCAAAAGATCGTTAAAATCTTCCTGTTTAACAATGTTCGTGTCTATGTATTTCATGGTGAAGTTATTAAGAACCAACGTATATTCTTCCCTCTCTAATTTCTCCTGATCCTTCTCTAGAAAGTGAAATATTGTCGCACCCATCAACCAATAAAATAGAATAAAAAATGCAAGCAGAATAAATCGCGCGTTATCTTCTTTCATACGAATAATAGCACAACATTTATTTGTTCGCGCCATTCCTTGGCTTCACTTTTGAAACTCAGTTTCGAGCCTACTTCAGTTTTCAGAGGTCGATTATTCCTTAGTAAGCACCCATGCTTGCTACCGTACATGAAATGTAGCTCACACCGCCGCAGTACTGAAAACTCGTAAATATTGCACTTAATAATGAGAAATTATTTCCAGATAAAACTCATATATAGAAAAGGAAGATTTCTTCTTTTTCACGTTATCCATCGGGTGTGTGGCATTATAATTCTCCGGTCTTGTACACCATCGATCGAACCAAAACTCCCGGCATCTATACTGATAAAGCTCCTAGTGCCGCTTCAAAATGGCGCATTGCAATAGCCTGGCCTTATTACTACAAAACTACTGTACAGTAATTACGATTTGCTCTAGTTTTCATTGAAGTTATCTGGTACCCCATTAATTCTGTCGAAAAATCAGGGAAAATCCACCCTGTAGTCTTTTCCACGAAAGGGATGCGGGAAACTCAGGTTTCATTTAACACTATCGCGAGCTGCTTTTATTTTCTTTGTTTTGCTTGCTGAAGATTTCGGTGTAGAGAATTAACGACATCATAAGCACTGCAGCCTTCTACCCAATTGTGCGCACTCGGTCAGGTCGGGATGATAATGAGCGTATTATAATAGCATTACTATAGATGCGAGCTCTGCTCTAGCTCTCGACCATATAGCACTGATCTAAAGTTATCATCGGTACATCGTTATGACGCTACGTCACAACGTCTTAGTTAATGAATATTCATATCTAACGAAAGGAATAATAATGAGATAGCTGAGACGATCTGTAATGATTTCTCTTCTCTCTGAGTCTGTAATACACCAGCAAAAATATCAACAGGTTAGAAGAAAGTCAGGCCAAGCCGTCATCAAAGCTGTAAATACCGTGAAATTCATATTGACTAAGGCTTTACAAAGGACAGATGTATTTTATGAGAACCGAAAAGCCCAGCAGCTGCCGTTTCCCATCGCCTCATTTCGAGTCGGTCCACAGAAATTTTATCGATCGTCAATTGACATTAAATCAAAGAAAGTGAGTGGAGAAAGGGAGGAAGTCGCTAACGCAGGCATCTTCAATCAGTTCATTGCCAACAAGGAAAAAACACCGGGTCCTCAATGTAATTTGCAAGTCACGAAACATTAATGACCAAATCACGAACCTATAAATATGATAATATAATAGTACCGTACGATGTTAGGCTATATCTGTTTTATGAATAGGCATAGTTTTGTTTAAATTAAACAGCATTAAGCTTAAATAATTTCGAATATTGTATGTATTTGACATTGTCTCATTCTTTTATATTTTTAAAAGAGCTTCGAAAAATGTCACATAACGCTATCTGCCGTTATTCAACACTGCTAAAGACATATCCATTTATATTTCAACACGATTCTCCTGATCGGGTAAACTACGAAAATTCTAATTAACTTAGTAACGTAAGTATTATTGTATTAAATAATACAAATTTTCTGAAATATTCCACTGAACGATTTTGTTCATCAAAGGTAGAGGGCGCACGTTCAATATTGTTTTATGTCTAACTACAAAGTTAAGTAATAAGCCTATACAGTTATAATACATTATTTAATGAATAAACACCTATATATCAGTGGTACACGCTCATACACACAATATATGGTCAGCTGTCAATGGTTGTACACTAAGAATGAAGTGAAAATAGTTTTTTTTTTCTCTTTCGCCACCACTTTTATTCAATTCAATATAATCTTCATTAAAAAACATCAAAATTGTACAGTACAATATTTCTTTTTTTCTTTTCCTTTTTTCAAGTTTTTTTTCATAACGTGTTTGTTATATTTATACCAGATTTTATATAATTTTGATATATTTATGTATCGATATAATTTTGTAACAATAGTATTATTACTATCATTGACATGAGTTAAGATATAATATTAAACAAAGATAATCTAGCAAAACAAGTATTATAATAATGGCGATATGGTGAATGACAAGTTTTGTTAATATTTTAAACTTTTTTTCTCTTTTTCGGAGTAACAACCACCTTTATATAATATAATCTTCATAAAATCAAAGTAATACAATGTTTCGTCTTATTTCAAATACATTTTTTCATTCTTTACATTAACGTTTTTCTTTATCTCTTTAGTGGGAATTTTACCCACCTTTATTACTTTCTTTGTTACTTTTCCATGTTTAACTGTTCCCTTATCAAACAATGCGTGCGCGTCTAACAAGCCCACGCGTGTTTCCCCCACAAATGCACATGTTTATATCTAAGGTAAGGGGCAGGGATTGGCGGAAGGTATATTTAGAGTGTATCGTGTTTGATGACTGTAACAGATGATGATGTAGGTGGTGCGGTGGTAAGGCTTTTTATTTCCCTTCCAGACTAGGTCGGCGTTTTGAGTGACTGGTGACCGGTTAATGTTTGTGTCCTCTGTTCAAGGCAATTTATCTGCATCATCTTATATCCACATATGACTTTAATGTAGGTATAGTGCCTAGTGGGTTGCGTGCTACCTGGACTTAAATTGCAAGTACCTGGTTGGGTTGCGTGCTACCTGGACCGTAATGCAGGTACGTAACCTGGTAGGGTGACGTGCTACCTGGACTTAAATGCTGGTTCCTGGTTGGGGAATGTTGCGTCCACCGTGCTCAATATATCTCCAGCGATAGAAGTGGGTGTTCTTAAGCATGTTAACCAAATTGCTAAGGATAATAACGTACTGCACACTTTTACATTAGGCCAAATAAAAAAAAAATTGTGTTGGCCACGCCCGACCGACCCAAAATGTATGAAATTGAGGTTCGGAATTTTTGTGTATTTTCTTCTTTTTAGGCATAAAAATAAGGACCATCTGCCAAAAAAGCGCTGGGCAATGTTCAGAAGGCCAATGATTCTGTATAATAAACTATACTCGTTTAATGACAACTGAGAACGGAAATACGAGGTAGGCTATTACTGTCTTTGAATTTAATTACACGTACACGATTTGCAACTGAAATCAAAGAAAACATTTACGACGCAGTCATTAATGACGGCCAATCTACAAGGCGACAGTATGACGTAGAGTATCTACTGATAAACAAAGTGATTTGCAAATCATTGTACTAGTCTATTCGACAATATGGTGCATCGTACCGTAGTGGATTCTAGCATATAATTCTATCGTATAATTAATTGTCAATAATGTATTAATTTTCACTACCTGGTTGTGCAAAAAAAATTGTTGTTTATTGTATATAAAGATTTATAATTCCAAGAATAGTCGATAGCCTAATTTCAGCTTGTATACGTAACACATTCAAATTCATTGTTAGTGTACAAAACAATACAAAGAATAACAAAGGATAATAAAACATGGTACAATGGAAATTTCAGTGATAGAAAGAAATTGTGTTCACTGAACTCGAAGGAGTCAGTGACCATTAGTTCAAGGGATGTGGATTAACAAATAAATTCGTAGTACCTTTAAGGCTTTCGGTTGAGGTCCAAGACAACAGACCCCGAGAACATGGTTATGGTAGATTATATTTAGCAAGAGCGAAGAGCGACCTTAAATAGTTAATTATTTGTGACCATTGGCCCTTTCGTTACGCCAAAATCAGGCCGGAATTTAGTAAGCCAGAATTTCCGTAATCCGGACATTTCGAGCTTTGCCGCGGGCATTTCGAACTTGCAATGTCTGATTACGAAATGTTCAGTGCAGAGTTACGAAATTTCTGCCACCCGGGGTAATCACCATTTTTTCGCTTGTAATTAATTTTGGAAAAACAAAAGTCTTTGAAACTATCAGTATTATCTAACTGCGTCTTCACTTCTTGTGCCTCAGGCAATGTACTACATCACGAGGAATACTCAACTTTCTCTAAAAAGAAATAAAATTTTCTCCGAAGACTACACTCATAGGCCTACATAATCTCACCTGTGGAACAGTCTTCCCGAATATATCAAGCTATCAGCAACATTACCCATTTTCAAAAACCTCCTTAAAACGTATCTCTTCACAATATAAACTTGGTTGTATTTTCTCTTGGGGGTGGGGCGGGGGGTGGCTGTCTTGGTCACCATCCCTAAGCATTCGCCTGTGGCAGGGCAAATGTGTATCCCGTTTTCCTTTGCTCATCCGGGATTGCGCTATGGTGGTGTTGCGGACGGTGGTGACGCCTCAGAAATTCTGTATTTTCATTTTGTTGCACCTTTATTTATTTATTTAAAAAAAATATATATTTTATTTGTTATTCTTATGATGTGAAACGCATAAAAGCTTGTCTTTGCATAGGCCTATGCGCTATACACAAGTGTAACATTATTATAATATTATTATTATTATTATTATTATTATTATTATTATTATTATTATTATTATTATTATTATTATTATTATTATTATTATTCCATCTGGAAGGGCACCAGATAACTTTGAGAAAGTTGGAGGAAGATCATTCGATTTGTCCCTGGCAGCTACCGTCGAAGGTCAGCGCTATCAGAGAGGGTCAGTGTTCTCAAATACTACCAACTGATATAATCATGCTAGAATCCCACTCGCGATTATTCGCTAAAGGAACACCTGTGTAGCTCCTTGAATGGATTTACACGAACGACGAACTAAATAAGTAATTTTCCATTTTTTACACGGTTCACAACGAAGAAATCGCCATTTAAATACCAAACCTCTAACAGTAAAGTTCCAGACAGCCCCACGGCTACATCATTCAAACCAGGAAGAAGCATGAACACCACCGGCGTCAATAAAAACCCACCAGACAACCAACGTTTACCATCCAATCTGACTGTTTAGTTATGCTTCACCATCAATCCAACACAATATTCACCAGTAAGACTCAGCAGCATTTCTTCAACCAGGATCTAGGGCTGTTAGGCGCCCTACTATAGTGAGCTCAGCAGCTGCGTCACTCAAGTGCATGCACCACAAGTCTTCCTCAGGTTTCTTAATCGCATCACCCTTCGTTATGTGAAATGGACCGTTCTTCATGAAATGAACCTTTTCCGTTCCTTGGATATTGTTGCTAAGTCCCACAAAGGACAGCGTAAACGTCCGTAAACACGTGCGCTTAATTTGTGGAACAACACGAGTGTTTGTGGGGCATGCGCGTATTCCAAGACATGTTCTGCCTGACACTCCGGAAAAGTCACACGGAAATTGCAAAAGTTGCAGTGTCTTTTGGTGATTGTGGCGTCTCATATGAAAATAGGTGCTTCCATTTTCAGGGTCCGAGCAATGTTGTATGAGAGTTGGTAGGATTGGAACATTTTATTCTTGATTGTGAACCAAATCAACATTAAAATTACATTGGTTTGTGCTTTCTATATCATTATAAAACCGTACAACCTTCAAACCAAGGCATACCGGATGAGAAACAACGCGTAAGGCGTACACAGACAAGGCTAGCCTAGCCTAGGCCAGAGAGTTGCAGGCCTCTAACACTAACTAGCTAGGCAGAGTGAGAGGTAAGTTGTTTGTTATGGCTAGCTAACAGTCATCTGGCCAGGGCCTAGGGTAGGCCTCGGTCTATTCTTTAATAAGAGAGAACACACGTTCCTTATGTGAGACTGCAAGAAGCATAGCGGCCATTCCTCCTAAAAATACATTCTTCCAAATCCTAAAGTGATCAATTTTTCTCCAAACACAACGTATAAAAAAACAAAAACAAAGCTGTTGCTTGTAGGCCTAGGCCTACAGTAAGTCCACAATGATAGTGTGAACTCATTTCGTGGTTCTCATCATATGTGTACTACGTTCTACTTTAAATCAATTAAAATTGACCCACCAATGTTTAATACATTACAGTCTTACAGTAGTTCTGGCCTGAATAAAGATGACCATTCCAGATTTTAGGAGAGAACTTAACGCACAACTTTCAGACATCCGCAGTTAATTAACATGACGAAATTACATTCTGCGTTCTATGTCGTCGCAAATCGAAAGCTCACTAACTATTGAAAGAAACCTCCTCCTACTGTAATAATATAATAATTTAATAAATGTTAAACATACATCCTACTATCATTAGATGTGTTCTGTTTTGTGTTGAATAGTGTGGCAATTACAGTATCGAAACATGGAACTAAAGTTTTACACTCGCTTCTAATCTCTTGATTTTACTGTACTAAGTAACTCCCTTCCCAACACAAAGTCAATCTGGGGAGGGCTGTTACACCACGTTGATTATGCTCTGTTTTCCACTTGTGACTTTATTTGCGCGGGTCGAAAGTGTCGGCTAGTGGATAATAGGCCTTTACATCACACAATGTTATGTCGGATGCTGTATGTTCCTACAGAGAGAGCGACACATAGATAAAGCCGCACTTATTCAATTTTTGAAGTTTTCCTGACGTATTTCGTAAACTTTTCTTTTTTTTTCTTTAGCTTATGACCCGTCCCATTATTTCTCCACTGGATTTACTCTTACAAGGTCAATTGCCGTACGATAGCAAAGTGTCTACTGCCCCCCTTGGTGCAGTAGACACAATCATAATTTCAAATATAGGAATATATAAATATTCGCACTATGTTGGATTTTTCTGCTTTGATTATGCAATCAAAATATTCACATAATATTGCTCCCTTTAATTCATGTATTCATTCAGTGTGCGAAACAGAATTTTATAGTTTGCGATAATGAGAACGAAAATGTGATGTAGTGGTTTTTATTATCGTTTACATAAGGTGGCAAAATCTCCCTAATGGTATTATTAACCTTTTGAAAGCATGATTCTATTTTATTAGTACTTGTCAGATTGTAGCACGTATTTAAGGTATAGAAAGGTTTTGATTTTCAGAAGTTATGACAAAATATGTAAACAAGGCAGTAAATGTCGCATGTACAACTGGCATAATATATGCCTGTAGAATTCTACCTAATGTTTAAACATCAATGATTTGGCCAATCACAGGGAATCTAGAGTACAATACTAATAATGTCTATTTTTGTGAACTGTTAAGCTTTGTCCAGAATATCAAATTTCCTTAGGCGAGACTTATTTAATTCCCTGTTTTGGGTACTTATTTTTTTAAAGATTATCTTAGGAGGGTGGAATAAAAATAAAAATAAAAATTTGTTTTCTTATTTAAAATTAATGTAAAATAGAATGGTTAAATGCTTCAAATTTATATACTGTAATTAGGAAGAAATCTACTTATCTTTGGAGATTTCAAGGCAGCGGAGGGTGTAATGAAAATAAAGAAAAACTTATTTTTTTTCTAAAATATCCACTTTTTCGTGGTGGCGGATGCGCTAATTAGCCAAAAATAAAATTGTATTTTTGTGCAAAATCATCAATATTTGCAGTCGTCAGGTTCGCTAAACAAGGTATAAAAAAAGGTCTTGCCTTATGACAAGAGAATGGTTGTATGCACATATATAGTCATAACTTAACCATATATAGTCATAACTTAACCATATATAGTCATAACTTAACCATATATAGTCATAACTTAACCATATATAGTCATAACTTAACCATATATAGTCATAACTTAACCATATATAGTCATAACTTAGCCATATATAGTCATAACTTTACCATATATAGTCATAACTTAACCATATATAGTCATAACTTAACCATATATAGTCATAACTTAACCATATATAGTCATAACTTAACCATATATAGTCATAACTTAGCCATATATAGTCATAACTTAACCATATATAGTCATAACTTAACCATATATAGTCATAACTTAGCCATATATAGTCATAACTTTACCATATATAGTCATAACTTAGCCATATATAGTCATAACTTTACCATATATAGTCATAACTTTGCCATATATAGTCATAACTTAGCCATATATAGTCATAACTTTACCATATATAGTCATAACTTGCCTATATGATGTGATGTCATCATGACCATATTTAGGCATGTCACTTGTTTGTCAAACAAAATTTGATAGTCTGCACAGGGCTTTAAATAAAACATTTTTATTGAGGAATTAGAAAAAAAGAAATAAATAATAATAATAATAATAATAATAATAATAATAATCTTTATTTTAATAAAGCGCAAACAATATCCATTTAGAATGTTCACACAGGCACTGTACAGAATTTAGAATAGAAATTTAGGAAAACAAGTACTTTATATGTAATATCAATTAAAAGTTAAATAGACATTAATAATCATCACAATTCAATTTAACACATCAAAACCTACAGTGAATAAATGACAACATACTAAGATTTAAAAATAGATATGACATGAATGAACAATAAAACACTAACAAATATTTTTGGATTTTTTTAAAAGCAAAACATGTTATGAAATTTACATCAAAAAGTTAAGAAAGTAAGATGCCATGCCGATAAAAACTACTGTACATCATGTATCTTGGAATAATTAAGTAAAATGCTATGCCGATTAAAACTACAGTACGTCATGTATTTTGGAGTAATGCGTAAAAAAATTCAGATGAGGCATTCAGTATGCTTATATGATCGTGAGTACTTGAGGTAAAAATTAATTGAGGGCGCTCACTTTCAGGAAACAAGAATATTATAATTTTCCTCATTATCTGAATGATTAGTCCAAAATATATTAAGTTTTCTTTTTCTAGTTTAGTAGCTATGTGAAAGTAAATCCATCCAAGATGCCAATGTGGACTCTACGTCTGGAGGGTGGTCCGCGACGTGTCAATCATGCTGCGGCAGCAGTTAACCACCTTATCTTCTCCTTCGGTGGTTACTGCACGGGCGACGACTATGCTAGGCGGAGGCCTATGGACGTGCATGTGTTTAACATTGGTAAGATCACTCGCATGAGTATGATGGTATACTGTATAACAATGGGACTGCCTATGCTGAATACACATCAATCATGTTTTCATTTAACCTTTCTTATTATTTTGTAACCCACATATGTAATTGAATACATTGGTATGCAGATGTATAAGACAGATCCGCATTAATTATTCTTTTAATTTAGACAAGTTAAACACATGTAGTTAAAAATTAAGTTTTGTCAATCGGGCATTTCAGGTTTGTGCTTAAAGTTACATTTTATGTCTCTTCAAATCCTTTTGTATGAACACCTAAAGAGTGAAAATGATGTGGTTAAATAAAGATTATTATTATGATTTCCTCCTCGTTAGTATAGTGAATTTAATTAAAAACCTTTGTGATTAATTATTATTTTAGAAACGTTGCAATGGAGAAAGCTGCCTGATGTAGACAGTAAAGATCCAAGCTTCAAGTGCATCCCATTTATGCGATATGGACACTCAGCTGTTGCATATAATGACAATATTTACATATTCGGTGGCAGAAACGATCCCGATGGGGCGTGTAATGAACTTTTTTGTTTTCAAACTGGTTAGTACCAATCATACTTAAAACACATGTAGGTGGCAGATATTAAAATGGCATGACTAGATGATAATCATTGTTGTTGGATTCTTTGTTTTTTCTAGCCTCTCTGAAATGGTGTCTGCCTAAACCAACTGGTGATATACCACCAGCAAGGGATGGACATTCTGTTTGCTTAGTAAAGAACAAAATGTACATTTTTGGTGGCTATGAAGATTTGGTATGTCCTAAATTGATTATATATATCTGGTGTTTACATGTACAACAACTTTGTTAATCCTGTAGCTACATACTGAGCACCATATCCACCAATCAGTGACTCTTGTCATTATCAAACCTGTCCCTGAGAAACATACCTGTCAATCAACAACTCTTGTCATTCTTAGACCTGCCCTGACCGTCACATCCACCAATCAACAACTCTGTCATTCCCAAACCTGCCCTGAGTATCACATCCACCAATCAACATCTCTGTCATTCCCAGACCTGCCCATGAGCATGACATTCACCAATCAACAGCTCTGTCATTCCCAGACCTGCCCATGAGCATCACATCCACCAATCAACAACTCTGTCATTCCCATTCCCGCCCATGAGCATCATATGCAATCAACAACTTTGTCATTTCCAGACCTGCCCATGAGCAATAAAATCCACCAATTAACAACTCTGTCATTCATTCCCAGACATGTCTGAGCACCACATCTACCAATCAACGACTCTGTCATTACCAGACCTGCCCCCGAGCTTCCTTAATCTTCTCATACTTATCAAATCCACATATCAAGAAACTTAATTCTGTATTCACCAACTGTATTCACCAACTGAGATTCACATCCATCAATCAGCAACTTTTTTAATCCTTCATTTGGCCTAAGCACAATATACACCAATAAGCAACTCTGTTAAGCATTGATTCAGTCCCTGATTGCAATCAACCCAATCAACAAATCTGTTCATTACTTGTTTTGTTATAATGAAGTCTCTCTTTTTCCATTATTTTTTTACAGTCGCAATGTTTTTCAAATTCTATCCATAGACTGAATATTGATAAAATGAAATGGAAACGGCTTACTTGTAGGGTAAGAATATTTAATTTTAAAATAATTTTTTTTTGTTTCTAATTATATATGTTTTAGACAAATAATATGACCTGATGTTTAGCATGATATAGGCTAGCCTAATATGGCATGTACAATTTAAAACAATGTTCTGCAAACCTTTAGGACTCGATTTCATAAATATTTCAGGTCTTTAACTGCATCTCACCCACCAACTGGCGACTATTCGGTTGGTATATTTTCCCCAAAAACTAAGTTGTTGAAATTCACCTGTTACATATCTGTTTTTTGTTTATTTTTTGTTTTTTTTAAAGGGGAACAGGCACTCCATAAAAACATAGCATCTCTAGATGCGCAGAAACGACACTTTCATACCCAGGGGTCCCAAGTCTCCCGGAAGTCGTAGGAGTCTCCCGGAAATTGAGACGACCTCCCCCCACTCCCGCTGGCCAGCACTAATCTCCAGGAAAGTAACCCATCTCCCGCCATTTTATAATATTTGCATGTTTTTACTAAATATTATCAATTGTCTCACTGAAGTCAGTGTTGATGAGTGTCACCATCTGTAGTATAGTAAAATATAATGTATTATTAAGAACGTTCATTTAACCAAATCTCAAGGAAGGGACTTTTTCCAACTTGGCATCCCTGCATACTTTAAAATCATTTTGTTAATGTCTTAATTTAACAATTAGAGGTTCAAATCGTAAAAACATGTTTTTTAAGCACTATCCTCGGCAGGTTTTTAGCCAGAAAAATGATATAGGCTGTCCAAAATGGGCAGCCTGTGGGTGTGGCACTGAGCCGATGCACGGGCCATGCCCATCTTTGGGAATCCCCACCGAATATTGGAACGAAAACAACGTACATTCAATCAATAAATGTTGTTTTTATTAAACGTAAATATGCTTTAGCTTTAGTTGAATGTAACACTCGATAGATTTGAAGAACATAAAGAATTTGTTAAAGGTAGACCAGACCCAATTATGCTAGGCTGAGCTGATTAGGCCAAGCCGTCCAAGCCGTCACGGTAAAAGTGGCCGTCCTAAATAATTGTAGGCCGTCCAAAAGACGGCCGGACGGCTCGCTGGCTAAGCCTATGATCATTGGTACACATCAAAGTTATTGGGCTCAACAGAGTTTCATATGAAAAGTACAATTAGGCCTAATCCAGACTGTAAAATAAGGGGTAAAGCTTGTGCGGCGAATTAAGTTAAATTAAGTCTAGAATACTGTTTATGGTCCTTATCTAAGAAGACTTGTTCCACCACTAAAAACATAGGCGAGTGTGCCGTTTGAACTAGTGCCGTTATTGCTGTACGTTGTGGCACACCTGCCTTAACTTCTCACCCATTCAAATTGCCATATGGGATGGACATAAAATATATGTCCATTCTATGGTTTCTTCAGCTTCCTATTTCAATTGTGCCCCCAGAACTTGACTATAATTGCCTTTTATTGTTATTGTATTATTTTTACCATTACTACAGGGCAATGCTGCATATTGGAGAGACTTCCACTCAGCAGTGGCAATAGGACAGTACATGTTTATATTTGGAGGTCGATCGGACAAAAATGGACAATGGTTTTCTGATAATGAATTTTATAGTAACAAATTAGAAGTGTTTGACACAAAATCTAAGACTTGGAGTGCTCCAGAAACGTGGAAAAGTGTGCCTGTAGGTAGAAGAAGTCATTCAGCTTGTGAGTGTAATTAAGTTCTTGTAAAGCAGGTGCTTGGTTTATTATCATCATATCATCAACATCATTTACATTATCATCGTAAACATCATCATCATCAATATCAACATTTATCATAACATCATCATTGTCATTCTCATCATTATCATCAACAATCATCAAGTTCTTATAAAGCAGGTGCTTGGTTTATTATCATCATATCATCAACATCATCATCATAAACATCATCAACATCAACATTTATGATAACATCATCATTGTCATTATCATCAACAATCATCAAGTTCTTGTAAAGCAGGTGCTTGGTTTAATATCAAATCATCATCATCATCATTAACATCATTCATATTGTCATCATATACAACATTTATCATCATCATCATTAGCATCAACAATCATCAAGTTCTTGTAAAGTAGATGCTTGCTTTACTATCATCAAATCATTATCAACATCATTCCATCATCATCATAAACTTCATCATCAACATCATCAACATTTATGATAACATCATCATCATCATTCTCATCATTAGCATCAACAATCATTAAGGTCTTGTAAAGCAGGTGCTGGGTTTATTATCATCACCATCAAATCATCAACATCATTCACATCATTGTTATAAACATCATCATCATCATCAACATCATCAATATTGATCATAATCATCATCATCCTCATTAGCATCAGCATTATCATGATCCTCCTCCACATCATCATCACCCTCATCAACATCATTATTCTCCTCCTCTTCGACATAGTCGTCAGATTTGAGCACAAGTGCAGAATTTATTCACTGACATTTTTACAAACTTTTTTCAACAGTTGTCTACTGCGATAATATGTATATCTTTGGAGGCTACAATCGTGTAATTGATGAACACTTTAACACCTTACATAAACTTGATACCAAAACAATGGATTGGTCAAAAGTTCAATTACAGGGCTCGTTAGAACCTTGCAAACGACGCCGACAATGTTGCGTCACGATGGGAAGTAGAGTGGTCATGTTTGGTGGAACCAGGTGAACATATATTGTATATTTTTTTTTCAAAATAGTTTGGAGAAAAAAAAAATCAAATTGCTCCATTTATATAGTGCCATTCCAACAGTCGTTGCTCGTGGCGCCGTGGGCTTAGATGTTGCACTTTTCTATAAATTTCTCGCCCTCCAAAGGGCCACTTAATGTCCTCTGCAGCCGGGTAAACCGGTGCATGATTGTCATCCATCCAGCAAATGTGTAATGTATATTTCTGAAAGCACTCGATGCTTGGGCTAGCTCGTACTGTAAATTCTTCTAATGCTTTGTACCGACTATAAAATTGTCTTCGACAAAAAATTGTTGCGTGCACATATATAGTCATGGTGTACCTATATATATATATGGTCAAGGTGTGATGTCATCATGGCCATGTTCACCAAAGTCATGTCAATAAAATTTGACTGTCTGAACCAGGCTTTAGGGTAACTCCTCATAATGAGACTTAAGCTGTGTTCACAGTATCACACATACAAGTTGTATGTGACAGAAATCTGTGAATTCCCTATATATGGACATAATGATATATTACACCCAGTATTTCATTTTTTTTCAGCCCAAAACCAAAAATGCAAGCAGATGGAACTGATGATGACAATTTACAAGACATGAATGATCTATTTATTCTTGACTTTGGTAAGAATTTTTTATATTTGTCATTGAAAGTACCACTAGTATAGGATGAATGCGGCTTCCGAGGATGTCCGATAAGAGATTCCTGAAGGGATCTTTTACAGATCCTTTCAGGAATCTGTAATCATCAAATCATCATCAACCTGAGGGCTATTTTGCTGATTGCTAAAGTTAAAAGGCATCAATTTTACAGTACCAATTATTTTTTTCTGGATGTACTTTTTTCCTAATTTTTTAGGGCTAGGGGCTGGTGGTCTGGGTGCATTACATATTCCAACAGAGGATCACTTTAAGTTATAGAATTTTTGCTAGCTCCAAGCCACTAACTATACTACTGTTTGGCTACAATGGTGTATTTGGTCTTGGCATTTAATCAAGGGAATTTTCATGGTTGGAGGCACAACAATATTTTTTTCCAGGCCTGGGAATGAATGCTAGTGATACTCATATTTCGCTTTCCTTACGGCTTTGTTTAAAGGCGTTTCATCACTTTCTGGAATACCACTTCTAGTTTTAGCAACAAAACAACTTAAAACAAGGGCATGCCGGCGTCAGGCGTGTTGCTCGATGCAAGATTCTTTGGGCCTGTAAAGTACTGAGACTTTATGAATGATAATCTGAATCTGATCATCACTTGTTAAACATGGCAAATGAAATCTGTAGCTGCAACAACACAGCAAAGTACTGTATATCTTTAAATAGAAAAAGAAAAACAACCTCATACTTTGGTATTTTTAATACTTTTGGTTTTTTTGCAGAGCCAAGTTTGAAAACTCTTTGTCAACTTGCTGTTATTAAATATAATCTTGACACTGCTGTTCTTCCAAAGGAATTGAGGTAAGAAATTAATATATAATAATTGTTACTATCCATTTCTTGATTGATTTATTATATTAGTTATATTTTATTATTTGCTTATGGTAATAAATTTTATTCTGTAAGTTTTGGTGTATGAAAAAATAAATAAATTGATTAGTGTTTTGATTTATAATTACATTGGTTATTTGATGGATTAATGAATTGATCAATTGGTTAATTGATGATTAATGGATTGGTTAATTGATAGTGTGCTTCTTTGATTATAAATTATTGACCAAACTAAATTTCTGTGCCATGATTAATTATGATGATGATTATTGATAATTTATATAGCGCCCGTATCCGTTTAATGGAAGACACTCATGGCGCTCCTCTAAATTAAAGTTGATTTACGAAGCAAGTTATGAAGAGCAGATAAGCACAAAACCAAATGCAGTTACAGTACCCGATACTTGGGTGAGCGTCACTCTCTATCCGGGCCATGTAGTTTATTAAACTGACACAAGAGGGAACACCTTTTGAAACTAATGGAACAGTCTAACATTGTCAATCAAACATAAGGCCTAAAAAGAAAAATTATTTGTTTGCCCTTTAATGCTGAAAATTGTATAGGAGGGGCGGACGCAAACAAGTTTTTTGTCACCAAAATTAACATATTAAATTGCAATGCTTGCAATTAAGCCTGTCTGATCACTATTTGTTTTGAAAAGGGTATTCATCAGACTGAATCAAAATAACCCATAATCGATATTTTGTAATGAATGGTGATACCTTACATCAGACACTAAATTTAGACAACTTTCATGCGCAAAATGGAGAAAAATAAAGATTGCTTTCTTAAATTTGTAAACAAAAAATCGAAAAAAAACCCTTTTTTTTAAAACGTCGCCCCTATTTTTTAGTGAGCTAGAGGTGAGTACTGGAGGGCAAACCAACAATTTTTTTTTAGGCCTAACCATGATCTTAGTGAGTGATGTTGAAGACTAGCCCAAAAAGTATGTGTAAAATATTGGTTTCTTATCATTTTTCAGAATGGAGATTAGAAATATGGTTCCAAGTAATTTACCTTGAAAGACAAAGCACACTGTTAATTACAACTATAGAGTAAATTCACCAACAATGAACTTTGAGGTACACAAGTTGAAATTTGTTTGGTACATCTGTGTGGATGTCCCAATACAAAGCGAAGCGTTATTTTTTTTAAATTTATAAAAATGTATGATAAATATGTAGTGGTAAGTACATAGCTTTACATTGCAATAGTGTGTAGGGTGATGGATTGGGCAGCGAGGAGTGAGTAAACCTTGATGATGAGATTGTTTAGGGGCAAAACCAAATACTTTTTGGGGCTTCTTACAAGATCTAGGACAAAAGACATTTTTTTCCCTGTTACTTTTCAGTCTTTTTTTCAAATTTTGGTGAATATGTCTGTTATAAAGTGTGGACTAAAGTTTAAACAAAGTCGACCACAAATTTTCTGAGCTAAAGCTGGTCACTATATCAAAGTTGCAACAACAAGTTGATGATATAACAATGTCATGTAGTTCAATGTTCTACAAACGATGGTTCAACAAAATATTTTCCGCGAAAATTTGGCAGAAATCACTAAAATCAGCCAGCTCAATTCAAGATAATTTGAAACATGTTATTTTGTAAAATAAATGAAGTCATCAATCTGCATACTTTGTTTTTTTCTTTTTGCAATGATACAACAAAGTAAAATGCGGCTACAATCGTTATTTTACATTATAATTTTGTCATATTATTTTTTTTGGTTTATGTATTGTTTACTTATTTTTTAAATCTGAATTTAAAGTGTTGCAAAATGGTACACTAGGGCTAGTTCTGTAACTTAGGCATGTATGGATAAGGGGGTCAGTGGGTCGTGATTCATGTCTGAATTTCCAAACTGGGTCATCAGAGTTTGCGGACACTGATGTACAGTCATCTGCGCATGTGAAGACTTTGAGTTGTCGTTATCATCAGAATCAAAAGACATAGTTTTGATGAAATCTACTGTATGTTGTGCAGAGAAAGAGTGATTCTTTCTAGGTTCACATTGTCGTTATGTTCACAAGTTTTCTACTGTCTGTATTTAGATTGTAAAAGACACATCTCTCATATTTATTTGAAGTTGCAACATTGTAAATGTTCTATAAATATTACTATACAAGGCTTACTGTAACTGATTGTTGAACTGATTAATTAGCATAATAATGTGACAGTATTGTATACTTTAGTACAGAGAAGCTGTAATACTTTTACTCATAACTTTGGCAATAATAAGTTGATTCCACTAAATGACCCATCATTTTAAAGCTTGTGGAGAATAAGAAAATATTATAAAGTTAATTTCCATTTTTTGGTCATAGATGCTGTTTTTGGGATGTCAAATTATTGTTTATTATTGCATTTTTCACGATTTACTTGAAATTGGCATATTATAAGTTTTTTGTTTTTATTTATTATTGTTATTACTGAAATAATAATAATAATAATATTGTTATTATTAATATTATTAATTTTTATTATCTTTATTTTCATTAATAATGTAATTATGTAATTTGAGAAACTCAGTGATATATAATTAATGATTATTATAATAATTTGTAATATAATTTTAATGATAATGATTTTAATTATTCCTATAATTATTATATATTATTACTTCTTCATCTGTTTTATCTTTCCAAAGTAGGATCAACGTAAATGATATTATGCATTATTTTCATTTATACATAAATGTTATAATATATAGAAATTGATTTTGTTAGGAGGTGGGGAGTAGGGGTGGTTACTGGCAAAATGACACCAAAAATCACTGTGAAATTTTAATCTAGATAAAATTATAACAAGAAACATTCTGAATAAGTATTCCATTTTACATTCGGTTTTTACAAAAATGAAATGTCAGTAGCAAAATTTTGTAATGTTTAGGCCTGATCTTAGAGGCCTGAGTTTTATAAATTTGGTTTATGCGGAATGAGTTTTTAAGCTTATAAATCTGTATGTGTAGCTAGCGACTCTTTTCAAAAATGCAGATTTGGACAGAATAGATATTTAATTGCCTGATAAAATGAGTGTAATTTTTACATACTGTGAAATTTTTAGTTGAACTTATATAAATTATAAAATAAACTTCAACGAACAAAAACTATTATCTTACAGGTACCGCAACTAGGTTGATGTGTAGGCCCATGGAGGGTATTAAATGTATATAATATATAAATATTCTGTCAATGTCTCAGGGTTTTCGGCCCCTGGAATTATCCCCCCCGCCCCCCCCCCCCCCCTATTTAAGGACCTTTTACAGGTAAAATTCCTGGCTGTATCCCTGGTTCCCTAGGGTGTTTTTTGGAGATTAGAAAATACCAAATTTACTATGTGAATTAGATAAAATGAGTGTTGGGGAGGAACAAATTATTGTAAAAAATATCGTGCCCTTAGTATTAATGTGCTGCACTAAAGTGGTATTTTTCTATAAGATGAAAAAAAAAAACAATTGCAACGTCGAGAGTTATGTTTACATGTATCCAAGATTATGCCAACACCTCTTGAGAATTTGTAATTAAAAACAACTCAAGGGTTAGATAAATAATGAATCATGATGCTATCAAACATGATGCTATCAAAATTCTATGGAAGGCAATTGCTGTCAAATTTAAATCATGATAACTTTTGATACTATTTACTGGTATTTTTCGTCTGATCCTGTTTTGTGTCTTATTTTTGCATACAATTTGGCAGTGTTGGACAGTAGCGTATCTGGAAGTGACATTATATAGCTGGTGGTGGCGTGATGGAAAAGTGGGTGGGGTATTCAGGGGCGGATCCAGAGAAAAGTGTGGGTAAGAAGGCCATGTGTGCAAAGTATGTGGGATAATACATTGTAAAATAAAATCAATACGAGTACACAAATTACTACTTCTATAGCGGTATCATGTAGTGCTTTCAATACCATTTTATTTTCTCACTCCCTTATTCCTTCTTTTTTAGGGGGATGCTTTATCCCCTTATGGCCCCTAGAGCCGCTGTATCAGATGTAGAAATGAGATGATATTAGTAATTATTAACTACTAGATTTTTTAATGGTTTTAGTGGGGATGCATGTGGACAATAACTTTTTTCAGGGGTAAGTTCGCTACCACCCCTGTATACCATTATTAGAATTTGAATTATATTAATCAGTCTGAGAATTATTTGAATCTATTAGTGTCTAATTGTATTGTATTAAAGTTTATAACGAATACTTTTGCAAGTTTGCTACATAACGCATTGACTGTGGATTGAACCATTGGAGAAGAAAACTCCTATTTAGCAAATACTCTAAATTTTATTTTGATTTTTTCCCCTAATCTGCTAGGTTTATTATTTGAATTATTATTACAATCCAATTGATATCTTCTTACATTGTATTAAAGTGTATAAATTCACATATATTGTAAACATTTCCTAGTGACTACATTACCTTTATTGTCCTATTGAAATGACATTGTTGTCTCTGAACGGCTATCCGTCATCATTTAATTCATAACTGAATTTTCCAGAGTTAAGCTACGTTCACATCAAGACCGGATCCTGAGTTGCTACGTTTTTTGAACGCTGTGCTCACATCGCACATGGTTATTTGGGTTAAGTACGTATGCGTTCAATTGGCTTGAACCAACCAACCAACCTTGTTGCTGATTGGTCCAGAGAAAATAAACCTATGATTTCACGATACAAATGGCTATCAGATCCATCGATCCGGATCCGGAGTCTGGATTGGAATCGTACAGTACGAATTTCATGTGAACTTTCCTATTTTGTACCACTGAACCTATTTTTCATGATTTTTTGTCCAGGCACCTGACCGGATCTGGGCTTTGATGTGAACGTAGCTTTAGTCTATATTTATCAAGTGACCTATCAGGAGTACTCACTTGCCCCACAAACTCATGTATTTACGTACAGTTACGCTGTCATTTTGTGGGGAAATTAGCAACAATATCTAAGAGGCAGGGCTCAATGGAACCTTCCAGTAGGCATTATGAGGACATTTTTAACTCAGTTATTTAAATCGGTAATTATTTAGATTAAATGTTTCCTACCAAATTTTTTTATTCATTATCTTGTTTTTAAATATACATTGCATGTGGATTTTGTGTAGGTCATTAAATTTATTTGTCTATTTATGTAAGATCCAAAGCAATGTATTAAGATATAGTGATGATATACGTCGCTATTGTTCAATTTGCAGCTGTAGGGATGAAATAAATGCCATAATATTAAAGGTTGTTGATTGTGGTTTTATTTTATTGTTTATTCAATCTAAAACGTAATAATAATTAATGTTAACGATGATGATTTTGATAATCAAAATGACAACATTATCATCGTCAACATTATCGTCGTCATCATCGACGGGGTTGTATCCAGTATTGCCATTTGAAGATGGAGAGGGGAATGCATGTGTGTACAAAAGTGTACCAACTGTGGTTCGCATAGAAACCTCTGATGGAGGGAAAGTGGCACTCGATATCTGGACCTTTTAGAATACAGACGTTCCCCAGGGATAAACAGGCCTATTCTAAACTGTTGAGAGTTTTCTGTACAGTACAAGTCTGCTGACTCTCTGGATAGAGATAACGTAGTTTATTATTTTGTTCTGTTATTTCATTTTTTAATAACCCATTAAAGTCAACGTACTAACACTGTTGCCTTACCCACCGAAGATTCAACAACGTTACAATATATATACATTCTGTTTTGGAAAGCTTGTAACTTTCACAACCAATATGGCAAAGCCAAATGAATTGTCCAATTAAAATGTTTATAAAAATAATACTCAGGCCCATAGTCAGGTTCTTCCAAGGGGGGTTTTCTGGGCGTGAGTTCCACGGTCGAAGCCCTGTGGGGTCGGCGAAACCCCCCCCCCCCCAAATATGGGCCTGATACTTGTATCTTTACAAACTGTTCTGTGAGTTATGTCTATTATCATACATGTGCTGCGCCAGTTGGCCATCAGATTGACTTCGTACATTGGCCATTCCTCCTGGGAATTGAGATTTGTGGAACAGTCTGGTTGGACGCCGGGCAGTGTCGTTGAAGTATTCATAATCACTGTTCAGTCTGGTGTTGCCTGTTAACGTGTTGTTTCTGCTGGACCCTGCTATGCTATGCATCCGGGTAATGTAGCGAATGCCTTCATGTTTTGTAATCAACGGTTCAAATGTGTGCATCACGGAATCTCGTCTGGCAAATCGTCGATAGGTAATGATAATAAGAAGAATGAGTAAACAGAAGCCAAGACAAAGAGCGCATATGATAATCCAGAGATTGCTACTATCTGCTTCCTTCACTGCTGTGGGATTCACACATAACGCTGAAAATTCTCTGAGAATGTCTGGGCAGAATTCGTCCATCACGCTTGAACTACTGCACTCATCGTAGAGAATGCAGGATACGTATTCATTCTTGAGAACTTCAGTCACGCCTTCATTAATAATAAAAAACACCATGATAGATACATTTGTCGGTGTATTCGATGCAAATAGGACGTATAAATTAGGAAGTTGTTCCGTGGACTCTACAAAGCTGTTGAATTTACTTTGAACAAACGGGTCTGTTGCATCCGAGCCTAAGTTTTCATTCAAGAAGTTAACATTCACACTTTCAGATTGCGGTGCACATATGAAACTATTTGCGGCTCTGATATGAGGGATGCAGTACTCATCGGCTTGGCAAGTGCCTTCTGAACAGACACCAAAAGCATATTGACACTGAATACCATAATAAGATGAAGGACATTGGCACGCGAAGCTCTCACCCTGCTGGAGGCATGTACCCTTCCCACAGTGTACAGCCTCGCATAGTGGTTGTTCGCCAATCTGGCAATTTTGTCCAGTAAATCCCATTTGACATTCACAGATATACTGTGTATAATCCGAACTGTAAAGACACATTCCATTGTTTAGACACGGTTGCGACTGGCATGGGTCCACTGGTGGTAACTCGCAGAGTTTCCCCTGATAACCCACTGGACAGAGGCATGTGAAGGAGTTAGCACCGTCAAGACACGGAGCATTATACAGACAGGGATTTCCATTAAGGGTCGCACAGTCATTAACAGCAAAACAGGGACTATCGCTGCTGACGTACCCAGGTTTACAGATGCATTTGAAGTCCGTTTTTGACAACCGTAAGCAGTTTGATTGAGGAAGGCACTGCGCAAATCCTGTGCTACAGGGGTCCTCCGGTAAGATTGACACTCGGAATATCCTGGTCTCTTTAACATCCTCTAATTGCATCTCACCTTTTATGAACAAGTATGCATTCTCTGTGTAATTAACCACATCTGAGAGAATCAGAATATTGTTTTCAGTCAAAGTGAATGTGCCATCGGAATCATCTAGTAATCGGTACTGGGGAGATCCATATGATCCTATACTGGAGGTAAATCGTCCAATTGGGTGTCCTGGTAGAGATAGCTCTGACACTTCGTTTCCCTCTAGATTGAAATCAGTCAGTCCAGTAACACTGAGAGTGTAAGCTTGTGTCCTGGATAGCATGTTGATGCCATTATCCACGACTTTTAGAATAACCTGAAGGAAGGGGTTGGAACCGTCGACCATCACTTCTGAGAGTGGTTGTTCGAGGATCAAAGAAGTACCGTCGACCTGCAATGATTGAAATTTCCAAAGGTAATTGCTAAAAGTCACTCCCAATAACAACCCAAAAAAGATTTGGTCAGTACACTGAAAACGGTCTCCTATTTATATGTTTTCTGTTGACGGAGACTTGAACCAATGGTTCAATTGTCAACCAAAGTATGAGGAAGTTAGAACAACTTTTTTGTTTTACTCAAAGGAACAGGAAAATATGGGCATTGGTGGGTTTCAAGTTTAAGTAAGATCATATCAAAATTGTCAATCAGCATTAAAACGTTGCATTAAGTCTTAAAAAACATCTCTCAAATACCTTGAATAAATTTGAATTTTGGCCTTCAACAGAGATGATGTGTTCCTGATCCATATCAGGATCATGTACTTGGAATTGGCCAATCACATATCCTGCATCAGCGTCAATCGGTACAGAATGGGTTCCTGACAGATCAACCCCTTCCGGCGGTTCATTGACATTATCAACAAAGACTGTTAATGTCTGCAAAATATTACAAAATACTTTCATTTTTATGAATTATATTTGAACTATATATTGTACTTCATTTTTTTAATTCGTTAGTGGTAAATGCAATTTAAGTTTGCAGCTTTGTCATCTCATGCAGAGTAAGTCATTTACTTGAAACACATTCTACGTCAGTTGAAAGCATACCGTAAGAAACATGAGGTCTTGTATTATGTATGACTGAAAATTATGTTAGAAAATTGAAAAAGAATGTTTTTTTTTTCTGCATTAAATACTCCGTTAACCTCTTACACGAGGTTAGTAAGCTCTGGACGTGTGGGCTAGATTCCCAACTGAATCACATGCAGTTTATTTTTGCATATATGTGGAGGTAACACGTTTGACTGACAAAATAAACATCCTTGTTGAATTTTTCTGAAGCAATACGGATTTCAAAATGTCCTATACGTTTAGAGATACCATCACTCCTATTTTTAGTCTGTGACTAAAACCTTGTCCAGATTATCAAAAACATGTGACATGCCTAAATGTGGTCATAATGACATCACATCATGACCATATATAGGCACATCATGACCATATATAGGCACATCATGACTACTCTATATGGGCATACAAGAGTTTTTTGTCAAAGAAAATTTGATTCTGTGGATAGGGCTTTAGCGACAAATGTTTCTTGGTGTCACACACCTTCCGAATCGAATTGTAACCATCGGTACATTCCACCTCGACTCGATGGTATGGTCTGGTTTCATAATCAATATCAGCTCCTTCTGCCACGACCAAACGAATGTCATCATTAGACGTTCTGACGATGTCAAACAACCATGAGTGTGTGTCTGTACGGATGACTGAGCAGATGTGATCTTCACTTTTGTCTGGGTCATCCACTAGGAGTCGTGTCACTAGTGTTCCTGCAGGACTGTTCTCTGGAAGTGTGGGCGTCTGGTAAATGATATCCGTTGGTGGTTCTCCTGTATCGATAACTCGTATACGTACTGATTGCTGAATCATACGAACATATGTTTGAATTATTATAGATATTTGCTACTGTAGGTTAATAATATAGGATCTTTTGAAATACTAAAAATGCAGTGTCAGTTTAAACTGTTTGCCTATATGTCAGGGCAGCATGGTACCGCCACTTTCCTTTACACGTAAAACAAGCATATAACAGTATAAGGACATCACTGAGGAAAATATACCATACCTGGAAAGATTGAGGGGGTTCTCCGTTATCGGTTGTTTCTATAGTTACTTCAATATACTGGCGTGTTTCAAAGTCAAGTAGACTATTGTCGACAAGCAACAACTGGTTTCCTTGAATTTCAAATGCACCTTATTGAATTTTAGAAATAAAGAACACGAATTAAAGAATGTTTTAGTATTTGAATTACTGGAAAGGGTATGCATAAATCACGTTGTGCCTATTCCACCACCCACCACAACCACCATCAATTCAAGTTAATGTGCTGTTGATGAACTCTGAATGCTCTGCAGCCTAACCGATGAATTTCTAAAATACGGACTAACGTAATGAAATTCTACTTAATGATATCATTTTAGAGAAGGAAATTTAAATATATTAAAAGCAATTATTAAAAGTTCATCTTTTTTGTATACTGTAGTGATAAAATGTGTAGAAGTAGATCCAGACTCTTAAGTGAGTTTTCGGAATTGTAACATATGACTAAGGTGAATTCTACCGAATCCAAAAGCCTACCGAGGAATCGATTAGAAAATTGGATCTGTATGTAAGAGTATGGACGATGGCGTTCAGCGCATCGGAAACGTGGTCCGAATTGTAATGGAACTTAAAGATCTGTCCAGACTATCAAATTTTATTTTACAAAAAACTGTTTATGCGCATATGTAGTCATGATATGCCTATATAAGGTCATGATGTGATGTCATCATGACCATATTTAGGCATGTCGCATTTTTTTGTCAAATAAAATTTGATAGTCTGGACAGGGATTAAGAAGGTCGTGTGTAACTTTTCTGATATTTCCCTCGCTTCACATCCATCCTGAATCGTACGAAGTGAATTTAAAAATTAATTATACCAGTGTTTGTTTATACACGTGTGATGTTCAATTATGAAAGTAAATTAAACTCGATGTCTTTATTAGTATCGTACCAGGTAATTGAATGTCGGAGACTATACGGTAATTATGGTCTTGCCCTTCGTCTTCGTCAATGGTAATTAGCGAACCCACTACAGTGCCATCCACGGCACTCTCCGGAATAGAGAAACTACTTGGATTAAGTTGAAAAGCAGTCGGCGGATCATTCACATTTTGAATCTAAGAAAAAAACAAAAGAAATAATAATATTTTGTTTTTTGCATGTGTAACACAGCGTGAATCCGTCGACGAATTTTCTTATACTGCATATACACAAGCGAGTGAAAAATGATCATTGTCTACAATCAGTTTCAAATTCACCTGAAAAGCCTATTGGCGAGCTGTAAAATACAAGAGACCCGCGTTCGAATCCTGGTTGGGTTGGTTTCTGCATTCTCGCAGCTTGCATATCTTTACTGTTTACAGTTTAAACATTTCCATGTATACACACATTTTTAAATAAATGTATAGATGAGAGATTTGACTAAAATAAATCGCCTTAACCTAGATTGACTTTTGTCTTCTGCTGTATATGTATACCGGTATGCATTAAAGGCAATGGGTTCCTATTGAAATTAATCTGGTTCTTTTTTAGCAATGGAATTTGATTTTTCTTTAATAGTAACTACAGTAAACTGGGTTACTAAAATTTAGTGACTGCTATTTAATAGAAATCATGGGTGCGCGTCTTAACAGTACAGTATTAGGGTTACCCCCGCCTCGTAGACATTGTGAAAGAACCCACCATTAAATTTCAACAGACATAAAAATTGAGGTTTACGTTGTGTTATGTGTTCACACACCATGTGAACGCTACTTTATAAAACTCAAGTTCTTACCAAGATTGAGAAATTTGCGTAAGTAACCAGTGATGGGTCGTCGCCCAATGCGGCTGCAACTGTAATATCGTATTGTGAAACCTGTTCATAGTTGACTGTCTCTGTAATTATCAATGTATTATTTCCAGCTATTTCAAAAGGCACATCGTCTTGTACGATACTGTATCGCACCCATTCTCCCTGTTCTACAAGGCTGTAGAACAGGCCTACGGTCTCTCCTTTGTGCGCGTTTTCACGGACATCGACGTTACTTAGGCTCAAGTAGCTCGGCGCTTCGTAAATATTTTGAACGCTGATTTCCAATGTTTTCGAAAAAGACAAACCACCAGAATCAGTACATTGTACCTGTAAAAAATTATCACAAACAAAATTAAATATTTTTCAGTATGTTTAGGATTAGGCCTAGTTAGTACCAATAGTATGACCTAAGTTTTGTAATTATTGTTTAATTGATATTAATTATGCAATAATGTAAAATGAAATATAAATAAGCCTATGTTACGGAAAAAGATACACCTATAAATAACATGTACTTGTCATTTAAATGGGAAAACGTTGAATCTTTAAAAAATAAATCTAACGTGATTACTTATCTTTACTAAGATACATGAACTAAAAGGCTATGTTGCCAACAATGTGAAGCATAGTGTAAGCGCAATTCATTTTATATTATAGTTTACCAATTATGGTCCAGATTTTTTATCTTCTAAGGGTGACGGAAGCATGCAACTGTTTAAGCCTATATATGTTACCGTATACTGTTTATTTATGTTGTTGCACCTCTTACCTGAATGTAATATAAGTGAAATGTTTCGAAGTCTAAAGGGCCAGAAGTTACAAGTTCGTTGGAATTAACGATCTAGGTTAAGAAAGATAAAATAATCCATTTCAATATTAAACATAACACAGTCAGTTAAAAATATGACACTTATGAAAATTTAACGTGACAAATTTGTGTGATGTGTCCATATGGCTATGATGATGTCATATTTCACACAAATATGGGCATACCACATTTATTGGTTACATAACATTTTATAGTGTAGACTACAGAGTAAGTAAGGCCGGTGCCACATAATATTGATAAACCAAAGTATAAATTGAATGAATGAATCTAAACATTTTAGATAAAATTATTCAATAAATAAAACGATGCCCACAAATAGGTCATTAACATGGTCCTGGGCCAGTCGGACCTGCTGTTATGATTAGCTCCTTTAAATTTGAGAAGAGAAACTTGTATATCTTGGTTTACATACTTTCCTAGCAGTTTATATATACTTTTTTTTGTATGATATCAATTGAGTTTATAATCTTTTTGGGTAAACAATAAGAAAAGACTGCGATTCTATAGCTCTGGATTGTCTTGCGAGACTTTTTTATTCCTTGTTTTTCGAACTTATTTTTTAAAATTTTGTTTTCTTATTTAGCAAATGGGTTTGCCAAAAACATTTAGACGGTGGAAAAAATAAAATGTTATTGTTGATTATAAACCGTGTATTAATGGGATGGTTAAATGTTCTAAGTTTAAATATACGTTTATATAGGAAGAAATATACATATCTTATTTTTCGAGATTTCAAGGCAGCGGTGGGCGTAATAAAAATAAAGAAAACTCCTTTTTTTTTTTTTAAATTGCCTAAACATTAAATTTTATTTGTATTCGAAATCATCGTTATTTGCGGGCGGTGGGTTCGCTAAATAAGGTATATAAAAAAGCCTCGTACTACTTACATCGAATGGAACTTCGTGTTTATTGAGAACTTGACATGAAGAAGCAATATCGTTTGTGTCCGGATCGATTATTGATAGGTATCCGATACGACTTGCAATCTCAACATTCTCCATTGCCTTGAAAGGAGGTGATGAATAATTATAATGATAATTAATCTTATGAATGTTTATACTGCTAAAACAGTATTCAAAGATTTCAATAATTAACAAACAAGAATAATTCATCGATATGCAAATAAATGAATAAAGAAAATAGAATATACTTTGGTTGCTATATTATGTATATTTCTTGTTGTTATTGTTCAAAAATGAAAGAGGCTTACATATACACTTAGGGCCTATTAACTGACCTAATGACGATGAAAATAATAATAATTAATACTGTACAATTAATTCAAAATGATCATTTCAATATAATTAACATTGTTGAAACATACCATGGTATTGTCAATCACAATATCCGTCGGTGGATGATTAACTTTAAAAATCTCAATATCTTGCACAAGTTCAGTACTCCAATTGGGGTTACTGGCGCTATATGCAGTGATATATATTACATACTGTTCGGAATCGCCGTCAAACGTAATGTCTTGAATCCCCTCGCCCAGGCGCAGTACATTGCCGTCCACTGTAGCAAGATCAGCAAGACTTGTGTCGATGTCGCCCAACCTGTAGATTATGGTGTTGATATAAAATGTAATCATTATAAATTTAATCACCTGAGACTTAATAGAGCTAATATAACCTCTCGTTTACCACCCTACCCCCTAAATTCACCACTGACGACGTCATGTAATGTCTGAATTTGCTATTTTACAAATCGTCTATATAGGCGAGCTTTGCCATCGCGAATGTTTTCTCCCCCGACACATAAATCTCCCCACTCTTTTGCTTTAATGCAGAGGATAGTCTATGTGTCACGTGCGTGTAATTAAAATATTACACCTCCTGAATGAATTGCTCCAGATCCCCCCCCCCACCTCCAAAAAAAAATTGTAAGCCTAAAATTCAATTGTGAAACACTTTGCTAAGGTCAGATGGCTTGTTCATGCATCATGCTTACCCACTTCTAATACCCGTTATCCTGTACTCAAGGTCGTTGTAGGTTGTCTCATCGCCAGTGGTACCAAATGTCCCGATGACATCTCCAACGGTATTATCAGTGGATACGTGTGTGGCGGTAGTTGCAAAATCTATCAATGTTGGTGGCTCCCATTCATTTATAACATCAATCTAAAAAGAATGGATATGAATGTGATACTATAATATCCCGTATATATGAAACCCAGTTGGTTAAGGCGTCTGCATATTATCACTAGAAGGATACCGGTTGGGGCAACTTTTCTTTTCCACGCTCTCATATTTCTCTTCTAACGTTTAGAATCCCGGTTGGGGCAATTGTTTTGACTTCGTATGATATGCCTATAGCTATATATAAAATAACTCACCCGAAACACTCGTGTGGCTGTTAGTTCCCGGCCATAATCATCAGTACCTGCTGCGAAGATGCTGACGTCGAAATTGGAAAATTGTTCGTAGTCCACTGGAGCGGTCGTCCACAACTGATTATCCTTCACGGTTAGAGGGAATTCAATCCCCATGAACATCATAAAGTAATTGAATTCCTTTAAAAGATACGAAGTTGAAAAAGGGCCTAATCAGTAAAATGATTGTATTTACTATAAATGTGATAAAAGCATACTGTTTTCTTCAATTTGGGACCAACTTTCAGAAATAATAAAGTAAGATGGTCTCGGAGTTCTGTCTCTGATTAAAAGGGTTAGATTTTTATGTAAAAATACTGACGATTGTTAGAGTTGTTGTTACAGAATTTACAATTAGCAACTGAATGAAGATATGAAATACTTTACTCAAAAATAGTTAGGCCCAGGCCTACCTATTTTTAGAGCGTCTGAGAGTAATTTCCTAGTGGCGGATCCAGGGGGTGCATTAGCCTATCCCCCCCCCCCCCCCGTGTTAAACGTTAAAAAGAATTCTGACGTGGCGGATTAAAGAGGGGGCAGCCGGCCCAGGCTACTTTTATATCCAGATTGTATGAGAGTTTCATTTCCTGCCATAATCCTATTTTTTTTCTAGACCCTCCATAATTATGTGCCTCCCTGGCCCCGTTTATTTCGCATCCCTGGATTCACACACTCACATCACTTAAAATTAGGCCTAAATTAATCAAGGTACCCTACCACGTCAGTGATTATTTGACCTGTAGCAGCATTTATGGCATGCAAGTCCCCGAGAACTGACGGACCGGTGTTCTCTTGCACGGGCCTGTAGTCTGTAAGAATAATATCCACTTCCATTGGTTCGTCCACTAGAACATCGATGATCACGTGACTATCGATGTACATCGCTGGAGTTCCACTATCAACGCAGCGGACTTGAAGAAAGTAAGACGACTGGCCTGGCATTAAGGGCTTAATTGTCTGAAAACAGAATATAGTAGTTGACTCAGTGGGGACTGGTGAATCATGATATATTAAATTCTTATTTTAAAACGCAAGTTTCCGTCCCGGGCATAATTTCGCTCGGAATTATGTTTATTGTGATGTACAATACGGTATTAAACTTTTTAGGCCTATTATGATTGAAGAAAATAAAGCAACCCATAAATACCTCGAGTGAATGTTCATTTATTGTAAATACACCGCTGTCATCTCCCGTAATATAGCAATACGAATCTTGTAGTATTCCGCCACTGTTGTCAGGATCATTCACAGATATCGTAGCGACGCTAGAGCCAGCCGGGGCACCAAATTGAATCTGTTGAAAAGAAAAATATATGTATGTATCTAAAGTGATAATGCGATAATATGAAGTTGAAAATTACAAAAAAAAAGTATGTCAACTAAAGGTTTGACGTAAGAGACCGTATGAATATTATTTAACTTTTTCACATAAATATGCAAAATCGGTCGGTTTCACATTCTCAACACAATGTAATAAATGTTCTGTGGGTGTGTTTGCATGTACACTTCAGTGAAGGGCGGATCCAAGTCGTAAATTGTGACATCAATAATTGTTAAGGTGTTGTATTTAAAAAAAAAACCCCTATGTCATTTGCCTAATGCGCTTGGTATTGCGAATATTACCAGAAATCTTATTACTGATTAAAAATTAGTTTTGTGTGTAATGTTATAGGGAATCAGACTAAACGGCTTCATTATGATAATTCACTAAGAAATGAATTAAGGTCGTGTTGTAGGCCTAATTGTTAAACTGGTCGGCATATCGGCGTGGTGCTCTAATGATGAAACCATGGATTTAGCCTATTGATAAGGATGACCCCAAAGTACTCTACCTGCGTGTTTGAAAAGTGCATACTTGTCGGAGCTTCGTTCGTATCTTCGATTTGAAAGATAAAATTCATTTGTATTGTCTCCGTCGGATGACCGTCTCGGACCGCTTGAATTGTTACTTCGTGTTCGCTTGCCGTTTCAAAATCGAGTTGAGCCGTGGGAGATAGGTATAGTACGTTGCCTTGAAGTTGGAACATGCCATCTCTATCATCGATAATCGTGTATATGTATTGATTAAAGAAATCGGTTGTTGTGATCGAACCAATCGGTGTATTGCTCGTTAGTGACTCTGAAGGACTTGTGTCACCTGAGAAAACCAACATCTAGCACAAAGAAAGATAAAGAACAGATAATGTTTTTATGTGCTTATAGGGAAACTAACCTATAATTGTAATTTTTAGAAGCAGTACAGTTTACCCTGAATTCAAATAATGATAGTAAGTTAGCGGCCGAATTATTCGACTAATTAACCAACAGGAATATGCTGGAATTTTATTAGTGGTAAAAAAACCCATAGCAACATCGAACTTTATCTATCAGATAATGTATTGCTTTCCTGTCGTCAAGAAACCGATTCTTGGTGAATAAAGGATTCAGAACATTGATTGAACCTGCAAGTTAATATGTGGATCTTTCCACTTAGCCCCGCCCCTTGGATTGTTGCTAACGTCCAACAAAAAGACATCGTAAATGACGTGAACATGTTTGTGCCTGTGAGACAAGTGCGTATTCATTATCTTATTCTGATTGGTTATTAAGTTTGATTGACACTCTGGAATGACACATTTTACGTACCGGGGGAATTGAAGTCGCGGCCTGTGTAGGTATCCCAGGAACAGTCGTTTCATCGATACTTGATGGAACATCAATGTTGTAAGTATGTTGAGTGATTTGCCCAACAGAATTGGTTGAAGTTAGTGTAATAACGCCTCCTTGTGATTGACTAGTAATATCGCTGGTGACGTATAGATCATATAAACAAACCGTTTTGTACCCCTTTAAACAAAAATATACAAATGTGATCAATTATTATTGGTTTAAATAAGCATTCTAATGCTATGTAACATTACGCATACAGCTACTGATGATTTTTTTTTTCTATTGATTGTATCATACGACAATATTAATAAAATAATGTACACCAAGGTAAGTATTTTACCTGTTCGTGCCCATTGACAGGTTGGCAATACATTATTCTTGTTTGATAAAGACCATTTCCCCCTTGCACATCCAGTGAAACATCACCGCTACCATAGTCATACACCACAACAGCGCCAATGGTTTGTCCTGACAATAAGATAATAAAGTTAATGAGGTATAAAACCATCTCGGAGACGAAATTTTCCACTGATGATGTGAATGTATATTTCGATGTATGTTTCAGTCAGGAAAATATCATAGGAGTGATGTTTTGCCCTAACAAACGTGTTGTCGACCGAATACACAGTACGTTCCCAAATACTTGTGAAAAAACATCATGACGTGAATGTAATATAAATATTTGAGGACGTAATAACGGTTGTAAATTATCTTGCCTGAATAATTATTGAATGGCCATTATTTTTCTCGTAGATTACTGCCACATAAATCTTTTATAGTCTGGTTTAATGCTTTAAACTAGATATGGGAGGAAATATTTTTTTTAACCAATAAAAGACGTTTAAAAAATAACGTTTCTAAAGTCTTTGTGCATAAATTAAATATTTGTGTACTAATTAATCTGTAAAATCATTAAAAAATTGAATTTGGTTTTTTATCTGTCGTCTACGCTTTGTCCACGCTTTTCAATTTTGTGTGACACATTTGTGTGATGTGCCCATATGAGCATCATGATGTCATTAACCGAAATATGGGCATATCTCATATTATATGTCACATAAAGTTTGTTAGCGTGGACAAAGCTTGATTTAAAATTGATAACATAATAGTTATGTTTCATTTAATTGATTGATTTAGGGTTGTGTATTAATTATTTTAGAGTTTTCTTGAATATTTGGGTGGTAGTAAATTATATCTTTAATAATAAAAAATATATAATACTTTAAAAATGCAATTATTATGTAAGAACGCACTTCAGTTAAGTAAAGTAAGAGTGCCTGACTGACCTGACTCTGTACCGACTTGTAGTACGGGCTCATTTACCGGATAACTCTCAGTCGCAGTCGTCGATAGAATTGTAACACTCGTGGATGGATTAGTCCGTTGAGATACATCCAAAACAAAATCATCAGTGATCTGACAAATAATATTAATAAAAAAAATGAGAGGGGCAAAAAGAGAGGAAGGAAGGGGAAGTTAGAGGAATGTAAGGGAAATGGGAGAGGGGTGGGATGGGAATTAAGCTGCTATTTTTATTATTATATATAGTATTTAACTGTGTCATTGATTTGCAGTAAAGAATAGAGTGTCAAGTATGTTCCTATAGCGAACATCGTCTTTGTGCATTATCAAAAAAGGTATAAAGGTATTTGAGAAGCGACAAACTCTTCCAAATCAAGATGATCTATTGTACAAAAAAAACAGAACAAAAGAAAAAAGGAAAAAAAAAACAGTAATCTAACTTCAGCACAAAACGTTTGTAACAGACAATGGTGGCAAATCGACTTGGAGCAACGTGGCTAAAAACAGTCCGAATAACTACCAAAAGTAATAATAATACCGAATAAGGAGAGAACTATGAACAAATTATTTTAAAATAGGTTCAAACAACCACTCTGCATGCATGCGCATATCTATGAAAATAAACATACAGTATTTTCCGGATTACTAGAGTCTACAGCCCGTATTTGGATTGGGTACGACTGTTGAGTAGAATAATCAATACGAGTTGAATCTTCCAAGATGAGTGCACCCGTACTAGAATCAATCTTGAATAAGCCATTGTAATCGTGAACAAGACTGTACCAGTATTGGTTGGCATCGCTGGTGCTATCTACGGATACAACTCCTATTACAGCGCCTGCAGTACACAAAAAAACAAAACATGCGAATTGAGAATATATTTAAAAGGTAAAGATAATACAAGTAGGCCTACTTTGGCCTCATCGGCCGATGTGCCAATCTTTACTTGGCGTTTGGACCTGGCTGGGGTTTGCCACTTTTCCTGCTCCAAATCATATTATATTCCCAGCATAATAACTAGTGTACAAGTGAATTGGGTAAAGCCTGTACCAATTTATATTCATGCCCAAGTGACATGTATACATTGGTGATTTCGACCTCTTGGTTGACAGTTTGAGCCACATCCGCTCCTCAATTCAAGTTGTACTTACAATATAAAAGACAGTCATCGACTGGAACTTAGGCAAGGGCAACACATATATATATATATATTTTTAAAGGGACTTGATCGCATATACGACAAGGTAAAAACGCCAATTGTACTGACAGTAACTATACGCCTATATTAAAAATAACAGTAACTTCTTCTAATTATCGAGTTTATGTACAATACTAAATTTCCCCAGCCATTAGATGGACACACATTGCAACATTTTTTTGCGTTGTGTTTGCGTATCCACTGTTGTTATCCTTAGGCATAATGTTCGAAGTTCTTATATTTTTGGTTGTACCAAATTGTACGTGATGGTGGTTCGGTTAAAAACAGGGCAGCGAGGAGAATGCTTCTACCATGACACCAACAGTCAACTCAATCCCAAGAGAAAGAGAGAGACCATAGGCTACTGATTGTACCTAAGATTGAAACAATAATAATATATAATAGGCCTAATTCTGGATTTATATAGCCGACATTATGTAGCATTTTGATGACTTGGCGCACAGGGATTTTTCTTATTATTCAACATGTTTTTACAATTCATATATCATCATCACCGCCACCATCACGATCATCAACGTCATCATCATTGTCAACATCACCATCATAATCAATATCGTCATTGTCGTCATCATCAACATTTTCATCATGAACACCACATCACCACCACAACCACCACCACCACCACCAGCACTACCATCATCATCATCATTATAATCATCATCATAATCAATGTTTTCGTCATCCTCGCCGTCATCGTCATTTCAACATCGTCATCATTAGCAGGAAATTGGCATCATCATGATCACCATCATTATCATTGCTGTATCATTTTATTAGTTACAGATATAATGTAAAAAAACCGCGTTGTCTAGCGTGTCAGTGTGACTTTTGTGCCTATCATTATGTCGCAAGAAAATGGTCGTGTAATTCATGTAATTTATGACACATTTAACAATGAAAAATAACTCAATTATACACTTCTTAGTTATAAGTTAAAAGATAGGTATTTATTTGCCGAATTGAATATAGTTATTTCACAATTATCAATAATCATATTTTCCTGATTTCTTCAGTATATTTGTTATAAAAATAAGCAGTCTTTTAACACAATTTGTAGCAGTTATGAGCTATTGGAAAATGAATATTTACATGATTTGTATATCTTACATTATTTATAGTTATAAACAGGTGTTTAAATTTATTTACAAGTTATTGATTTTGTTTGACAAAATGTCGACAAGATCATCAATGAGTGGTCTCCGCTGTGGATCGACGTGAGTACAGAGTTTGCCCATTTCGTATAAAGGTTTCATACGTAAATGAGAACCCATTTCCCAAAACATGTTGCCCAGGCTGTGTATGTCGGAGGCAAACGTTGGTGGTGAGTTTGGGAAATGAAGCTCTGGGGCATATTCTCTGTGAGCTGCTATGCACTGTTGACGTTGTGCTGCAGAAGTGTTGTTAAGCTTGAAGAAGTCGAATGGAGCGGATGCATGACAGACTGAACCGAAGTCGGTGATTTTTGCGGCCCAGCGTTCGCCATCATGGTAAAGTAGAATATTTCTACTGGCCAAGTCATTGTGAATCAAGCCATGTTTTTGCATGACCTGAACGCCTTCTGCCATGTCCCGTGCCACATGTAGTCCATCTGAGATCGTAAGATTCGGATCTTTGAAAGTGATGGCTTTAAAGAGAGTTACAGACTTAAATCGAGTAGGATGTCCGACGTACTCAATAACAATGCTTTTCCGAGGTTCGAACCAATCTTTTTCGCAAATACCATAAACATACGGGAATACTCTGCTTTCCTTAGATAGGAACATCAGCACTCGAGCTTCGAGGCTAACTAGAAATTCATCTATGATCTGCTTCGATGTGTCTCCATGACTTGTAACGTCACATGATTTTATTGCAACAAGTGGGCCATCAGAATGATCCAGACGTTTTAATAAGACTTCGCCATACGCACCCTTACCAAGTTGAACCTGCATAAGTAAATGAGTAGTTATTGTTAGAATATTAAGTATGTTACATAACATCTTTTTGCAATAATGTTGTATAGTAAATATACTTAGATTTATTAAAACATAATTTAGCTTACCTGTTTTCCGGAAAGAACAACTGGACACAAATCTTCCATCAATATGATCTGAAGCTCATTTGGCAGAATGTTATCCAATTTCACGAGATAGTCAGGCAAGATTACATCGTCCGGTGCCTTAAGTGGTGACAATGATGCTGATGCGAACTTTCCACCTCCCTGTCCGAGATCGTGGTATGAGTTTGAAAGACAGAGAAGGTTCTGCCATTCCCCACTCAGTGGCGCTCCAAGAGAACGATCTTCGCCTTCAAAATCATCAGTATCAATGAAGATCAGTTCTGGTCGATAGTCCACAGGCAAAGTGGTGTTCTCTACAGAGTGATGTGCAGTTGCAGGAATGTCAGTGATGGTACTGATGGTCCTACTTTGACTACTTCCAACAGAGCTTTGGCACGACTGAGCTTCCGTGCTGTCTGTACAAGAATAGGATGTGGTGTCCGTTCTGTAATTGCCAAAAAACAAATGAGCTGTGTATTAATTTTATCAACATACATAACGTTTATCAACTTACATAATTACATTAAGTACAAAATAATATAATACAGTGTAGTCTATTCCACATTTAAATAACAATCATTCAATGGATCAAGTAATAAATCAATTAATTTACTTACCTTAAGTCAGTTTGGTATTCTGCATCCTGTGGCGGTGCTTTTATAGCAGGCGTGAACAATAGTTGTTGGTTCCTGAAAATTACCCAGTAGAACAGACCACACATCGCCTTCATAAAGGGGATAAGATGCCACGTTGTTCCTGATGTTCCATTTCTTTCGACACCCACCACACATCGATTTTCAAATTCGTTATAAAAGTTACCACCTACGAAGTAGATCAACATTCTTGAGATCACTGCGAGGAACGATCGAGCTTGTTCGCCATCGAAGATGATATCCAATGCATATTGGAAACAGTTGAAGGACACTTTAAATGTGTTGTTGATGTCACAGCAGATGTTTAAAGTGAATGGTCGAATGGTGCCATTACTGGGGTGCAGAGTTGTAGATCGGTGGCATATTATGTCACGACATTGGTTTTGGTTGCCCAACTGCATGTATGGAGTGACCAAGTGAGGCTGGCTAACTAAGCTAAGAGCCTGTGGTTAAAGAAGTTTAGAAAAAGTCATAAAAACTGTAGAGTTATAAAAATTGTAAAGTCGATTACAGCTCGTATATATAAGCCCAGGTCAATAATTTTGGTTATTAATACATTCAATTTTGTTTTATTCCAATTGGGCTTACCTTTATTTCTGAGTGCTTGGATGTCAACTGCGATGGTAACTCAATTGATGGTAAAAAGCAAGTTTTCAAATGGATGGTGCCAATATTATACTTGACTGTTTTCAATGTCTTCACTCTCACAGCTGAGTACAATCGGTGGCATAGGTCACGGTATTGGTTTTGGTCGCTCAACTGCATGTGTGGTGTGGTAAAGATATGTTGGCTAAATAAACTAAGAACCTGTGGTGTAAGATTTAAGAAAAGTTATGAAAACGTATATTTGCATTTGGTAGAGTTGTATACATGTTGTATAGGCCCAAGTCAATAATTATAGATACAGGTATAATTCAAAACTCTGTATTTCAACTAGGCTCACCTTTATTTTTGAGCGCTTGGCAGTCGGCTGAGATGGTAACTCAATTGATGGTAAAAAGCGAGTTACCAAATGGAGGCTGCCAATATTATATTTGATTGTTTTCAATGTCTTCATTCTCACAGTTGAATAAGATCGGTGGCATACGTCACGACATTGGCTTTGATCGCCCAACTGCATGTATGGAGTAGTAAAGAGATGTTGGCTAACTAAGCTAAGAGCCTGTAATTAAAGATTTTTAGAAGTCATTAAAACCATACATTTGCATTTGGTAGAGTCGCTTACAACTTGTATAAACTTGTATAAGGCCCAAATAAATCATTTTGAATATCAATACATTCAAAACTTTGTATTCCAACTAGGCTTACCTTTATTTCTGAATGATTGGCAGTCAGCTGAGTTGGTAATTCAATTGATGGTAAAAAGTGAGTTTGTTGGTGGATGCTGCCAATGATATATTTGACTGTTTTCAATGTCTTCACTGCAAAGATGGACCGAGCTTGTTCACCACTAAAGATGATATCCAATGCATATTGGAAACATTTGAATGACACTTTGAATGTGTTGTTGATGTCACAGCAGATGTTTAAAGTGAATGGTCGAATGGTGCCATTACTGGGTTTCACAGTTGAATAAGATCGATGGCATTGTATGACACGACATTGGTTTTGGTCACCCAACTGCATGCATGGAGTGGAAAAAAGAGGCTGGCTAACTAGCCTATGAACCTGTGGTTAAATATTTTAAAACGTTATTAAAACTTTACATTTGCATTTTGTAGAGTCGTTTATGAAATGTATAGGTCCAAGTCAATAATTATATGAATATGATTATATTCAAAATTGTGTATGCCAACTAGGCTTACCTTTATTTGTGAGTGCTTGGCAGACAGCTGAGATGACTCAATTAATGGTAAAAAGCGAGTTGCCAAATGGAGGCTGCCAATATTATATTTGACTTGTTTTAATGTCTTCACTCCCATAATACGAGGCTGCAATACATTTAAAAAAAATACGATAAAGTTTATAATAATATTGCGTACATATAGATCAAATAATATATATATATATATATA